GGGTTCAACGCGGTGGTGGCCAGCTCGGTGCCCCTCGGTGGGGGCCTCTCCAGCAGCGCCGCCCTCGAGGTCGCGACCTACAGCTTCTTAGAGGCCCTCACCCAGTCACCTGCTCAGAGGTAACGCTTGGTTCCTGGTAATGCTTAGACTATTTATTTTAACCATCTGATCCTTATCATCATTACCTTCGCAATATAGACCAGTTATCTTTTCCATCTAATCGATAATATCATAATCGACACGCTAAAGCGAACAATCATTACGTACCTTTGTTAACATACCAGTTATCATTACCATCTCATCCTTATTCCTTATTATCATCAATGGGATGCATACCAATTTCCAATATATTCTGAGAATATATTCATCATTATTCATCATTATTCATCAATATATTCATCATTATTGCTACGTATAGTCTAATGTGTCCAATTACCATTATCATACGTGATCCTTACGGTAATTATCATTGCACTACATACTCTTGCCATACCAAATCGACCATGCCTAATCTAATCCGATGAATTTTCATTATGCGAGAGGATGCTTCACAATATTTAATTGCAGTACAATATACGACATATCGCCAGGCAATCTTTCTTATCTTGCCAACCAACTTAAAAAAAATCAAAAAAATCGCCAACCCTGCAACCAAGTCTGGTCAAACGCAGACGCGGAACCCGATTGTGCGGCCAGCGTTACCTATTGTGATCACTGAGGCAGAACTGATTCAGTCAGTCGAAAATGTCCTTTAGAAATAACGTTTTACGTGCGAATTCGAATCGCATAACAACTAATTATGCAGTCTCTGATTCACGAAGTACCTATGACGTCAGAAAATTCTTATATTTGTTCCGCAATCCAGAGGATTAATACGAGAAAATGTTTTTACCTGGTGGATGTATGCTATTTAAGTTGTTTTGGGATTTTTGTTCTTGAAGTATTTCGATTCCATCAAGTTTCAAGTCCCGGCTATAGACAACTTCTCTACATTCATGACCAGGTATAAACGTAGAACTAATTTTCCTAAATTGTGATAATATATGTAAATATTTCCTCAGGAGTCACTAAACTTTAAAAATGTACGTACAGCCCACGCGAGAAAGCGCTGGCCTGTCAGCGCGCGGAGCACGACTTCGCTCTCATGCCGTGCGGCATCATGGACCAGTTCGTCTGCAGCATGGCCGAGGCTGGCAACATTCTTCTCATTGACTGCAGGTATGGCTTAATAGCTCGGCAATATTTAATCAATAACTAGCTACAGCATTTCTAGGGACAGACTTAGGTTCTTGTACAAAGTGCATTTCAGCAGTCATTTAATCATATAATACTGGTCGGAATTATGATTTGTAGAGATCGACTACCTCATGAGATGCTTTTTCGACCGCGCTAGAAAGTCGAGTCTCAGTTTTGTTACTAATAGATCATTTCTTTTGAAGGCTGGCGACATTAGTACGATGGCACTAGGGGTAGTAGAAACTAAAATGACCAGTGGTTCAATTTCGATATCAAGGTGTTTGGCCTGTGTCTCTAGTCCGATAACAAGACGTTTCAAAACGTCTTGCGCACTTATAGACTACTGACTGCATGTCACAATTAGAAAAACACTTCTACGCAACTGAAGTTTTCAAACAAATAAATTTATACCACTGCTAATTTTTACGACAGAGACCTGTCATGCGAGCTGGTACCGTTCACTGAAGACTCACTGCGCGTGGTCGTCTGCAACAGCAACGTGCGCCACACGCTCTCAGGCTCAGAGTACCCCGCCCGACGTGCTGACTGTTTCGCGGCCGCTAAAGTTTTGGGCAAAAAAAGTCTGCGTGAAGCGACCATGGATGACATTCAGAGTGAGATTACTACGCTTAAGTCTGCTGAGTTGAGATTTGTTGCAAATGGAATTGTGAGTGTCGTATATAATTGCTTGCATTAACTTGAACATGCACTATATGATAAGAACCGTTTATGTTGCTCGTTTCGAGAAGCCAAGAAATATCATGTACCGAAACTATTGCAAACCACGCCACCCACTTGCCTCATCACTCGGCTAATTGTGGCATGAACGCAAATAACTACAAATTTTTTCTATCATAGTACAAGAGAAGACAAATGTGCTAAGCATGACAACTGACCAGTTTTTTTATTTAGGCCCCGACCCAATTACCTCACTCAGTTCAACCAAATAATCTGTATCCAGATATTGAGTCACCAATCTGAGACAATAATGTTAATAATAGCGGTGTCAGCGTTAAATAAGCCATTACGCCCGTCGCTAATTCTGAATATCGCAGAATTTTTGCAGCTTGCTGCACGTCCCGAACACGCAACTCACAGCTCCAAATTGCTTGACCGCCCGGCGGCCCGGTCTCCTCGCCGATTTTGAACAGAACTATCACTGGTAGCTGGGATTAACCCACAACTCACTGCTTCAATATTTTTACTCTGAACATTAACCACTAAGCCACCCTGCACGTGAGCCCACATAAAGAACTATTTAAGCAGCATAGGTTTGGGTACTTTAAAAAGTTTTGGTTCTATGTATGCGACATGTTCAAATTACATCTAACATCAATCAATAGTTCTGTGCATGTGGCCACAGATCACTTGGCGTCTCTGACCGACGTGACCATACGACGCGCGCGTCACGTGGTCACTGAGATCACGCGCACGCAGGAGGCCGTGGCCGCCCTCAAGCGGCGCGACTACAAAACTTTCGGCAAACTCATGACTGAGTCACACAACTCTCTCAGGTAGGACATTGGTACAACATTATATGTCGTATTATGATCGAACTTCTTCAAATTTAATTAAATGTTTTTCAGATTTTATAAATTCAACTTGGTTATCTCGGCTAGACTAGATTTACACAATTACGGAGCAGGCAATAAGTCCAGCAGCTATCTCAATCAATCGTCAGTTATGGAAAGATCGGGTTCCAAAGGCCGGATCCCTTGTGAATCAAGTCACGAAAAGTTCAAGAATCGGCAACAGGCCATGGGCCTATTTCTTCAACGCCGACACTTCTATTCTATTCTATTCTACACGGATCTGGTAGTAATCTATCCGCCTATATGGCGCCTAACGATAGCCCCAATTCTTAAAGTCCGATAAAAGTCGATACTTCAGTGAACATTTACTTCATAAAGCCAACGTAAATCCTGCATATTCAGAATTTAATTAGAAATAGTCCAAATACAATTGAAATTAGATATTAAATTTATTATTCTAAGAAAGTTCAACAGGGACATGGTTCTCTAATTCAGTTCCAAATAAAAATCGATTTTCCTACAGCTCGAATCTAAGGCGAGTGAGCTTAGTTCAAGAATTAATTAGTTCAATAATTCTCGTCGTTTGAAAACCTAGACATGAAGACATGTAAGACAAGTCCTGACAACAATACACGTGAGCTGAAAAATTCGCATTGCTAATATCAGCAGAAGGCAAAATCTAAGGCACAAAAGGTGGCAAACATCGTGATACCTAGTAGCTTATGCTAATTCAAAATCATATGCCCTAAAAGTAAATTCAGTTTCTCGAAATATTTTACTAATGCTAGTAATCACGAGCGCTATACTGGCCTTAGATCGGCCTACTGTTAATATTAAACTGTTAATTTATTAATAGTATTAAACTGGCCTGCTGTTAATATTATCGCATTTAGACATAAATTACAGTCCAGGGTGGAATTCCAAGAATGGAAGTTCACCTATAAAAAAGCTTTCCACCCCAGGTAGGAAGCTTTCCTTAGATACATGCACACATGCAGTGCTCTGCCAGGTGACTGACTATAAAGGAAAAAGAGGATCAAAAGTGGACAAACTGTTTCAATTGTATAGTACCTCAGATTTGTTATAGACTTGTTTAGTTGTCTCTTGTTTCTTTGATATTTTTTATTTTTCTTTTATTGGATGGATTTTTTTAAAAATTTTCAAGGTTCTGTTTGTAATGAGTAACGATCAAGTTTAATTTATGTAATAAGTCAAGTTAGTTCAAGTTAAGTTAACCAGTACTGTAGTACTGGCGGGGCTTTTGGGCACAACCAATCACAGCTGGAAAATATGACATCACAATCCCATCAACCAATCACAGCTGGAAAGGGGATAACATCACAATCGCATCAACCAATCACAGCTCGGAAGAGATAGGATATGTATGTTGTTTACTGAAAGTGGAAAGTTCCTGGCCTTTACAAGCTTTCAGTTCCTGCTTTCCAATATGCTATTTTTATGGGTTAATTTAATATCCCTCCAGAATTTCACACTGAATTACTCCCTAGCCAAACATTAATTATACTCACGTTAATTTGACACCTAAGAAATGCACTATAAACGATATTGTATTCTGTTAATCAATCGATACCTGCGTGAGAACAAAGTTTGTTATACATTAAAAAAATAGCGAGACAATGAGTTTATCAAAAAATTCTGGCATCTTCACTTCCAATGAAGCAATGAATAATCATTTCACTAAAATTCCATCATTCTAGCTATACAGACTGGATTATATCCAACTAATACTTAACTAATTATAATTTAGTATATATTTTTTGCTTTATTGACACCAGACCACTTGAATGATTTAATTAAGGAGATTCAAACTTTTCTTAGAGAAACATGTCAATGAGGCATATTAAAATGAAATATAAGAGCAATATCGGTCTGAATCGGGCATTCAGACAACTCAACTTTCAACACTTCAGTTTTGACTCACAGCAGGCTCATAACTAGCTTTGGATTCACGTATTGGAAAATGGAAATGGCGTTCACACTCACCTGCAGGCTGCAAACTTGCTAATTTAATTAACAAGAAACAGGCTAGTTAATCTAAAAAAATGTTCTACACTCGTGCTCTACATTAACCACGAAAATTTTAAGTATAACTAGCGCCTTTTTAAAGCCCTCTCAAAGGCTTGACGAGATTTTCTGTAAAGTAAATCGCAACTTTGGATAACGGACTATAAGAAATACTTCGCTAAACCTAGTTTTACATAACTAGGCGAATATAACCCAACACAAGCGAGCCTACTGTGCATGAACTGACCCGACCCTACCCAGGCAAGCATGATCTAGCCTAACATAAATCAAGCAAAGCTCACGCCACCACCCCTCCCCCAGGAATGAATACGAGGTGTCGTGTCCTGAGCTGGATGCGCTGGTGGAGGCGGCGCTGGGAGTGCCGGGGGTGCTGGGGTCCCGCATGACGGGGGGAGGCTTCGGAGGCTGCACCGTCACCCTGGTCAGCTGTCCAAAACGGTTCCCAGCAACCTCATCATAGGGGACATTTCATCATTGACGCTTTACATCGTTAGAAAATTTCATCCTCTACCGACTTAACTTAATTTAACTCCATGTTATTTTTCTCAAAATGCACTTTTTGCAATGATGAAAATTTATGGTGATTTGCTGTAATGATAAAATGTCGTAATGATCATTTGCTATAGTGATGAAATGTCTCGTTTGATGAGGTGTCTGGCCACCGTCCAAACTAACTACAACTTCCTATACCAATAATAGGAGAACAACGTAAATGTTTCTAAAAACAACATTTATTTAGGATGAATTATTGTTATTTAAAATAAACATTTATCTTAATCAGCGTGTTTGGTTGTCAGGTCGAAGCTGGTAGCGTGGACGCCCTCCTGAGTCGCGTCAAGGAGCAGTACTCCGGCCAGCCAACCTTCTACGTCGCTGCTCCTGCGGGGGGCGCCTACACCATCACCTTCTGAGACCCCTATATCACTTTTTGAGCCGCCAGCATCACCTTCTGTGCCCCCAACATTACTTTCTGAGCCCCCAGCATCGCCTTCTGAGCCGCCAGCATAACCTTTTGAGGCCCAGCATCGCCTTTTGATGCTCAGCATCACCCTGCGAACCCCCAGCATCAACTTCTGAGCCACCATCACCTTCTAAGCCCCAAGCATCACCTTATGAGCCCCAAATATCACCTTCTGAGCCCCATGCATCACCTTATGAGCCCCAATCATCACCTTCTGAGCCCCAAGCATCACCTTCTGAGCCCCAAGCATCACCTGTCCCACTGGCATTTAGACGTAGGTATGCGGGAGTAAGGTTCGGAAAGCCGAAATTATTTCAAGAGACTTTTTTTTCGCAAAATCTTTACATTTTTCATTTATACCGTCAGCTAAATCGAACTTAAACTGCAATGTCTCTAGTCTTGATCAAATGGCATCGTGTCCTAAGACCTCAACAATGAATATGTGATATTGCTACATGACACAGACGATATTTTTAATGTTTCAAAGTCGTTATTTGGCTGCTACAGTCTGTTGTTTTTAGTTCAATACTACGCAGCACGGGTCAGAAACTTTCAAAATAACCATTGCTAAGGCAGATAGGAACTATTCCTCTGATCTTTTTATAGTTTAACACTTTTCATTCTAATTATTTTGTGCCGTACGGACGGAAGATATCTTGATTAGTCATGTTATGTGTGGTCTCGCATCGTTGTAAGATCACTTTACTGCTTAGATCGCAAATTTACTAAGAATTTAAAAGCAAAGAAAATAGCCAGAAAATTTACGTTTTCTCTAATAAAGAAATGTTAAATTTCCTGGCCATTTCTCTGCTTTTAAATTCTTGGTAACGAATCGTTTGTCGAGCTTCCATTTAGTCTCTACACATGGAGAGTTGAAACATCATTTGTTTGAAGCCAAGGCTTTAACTGCAGCATTATTGATAATAGTGACCACTTTACAGCTATCATCTGCCATGGTTTTGGTTGATAGTTTCATGCTGGTTTTTGCGCTTACTTTTAAATATATAAGTGATTCGCATAATTAGTGGCGTATAGCTTTGTTCTTAGGTTTGGCTTGCTCGCTTGGTTTGAAACTCATTCTTAAGTATGATTATTTTCCAGTTATATCGCTTGAGCATACGTGTTCTTTGAGTACATGACAAGCAGGATGAACTTCTCGCGCATTAGCCTTGGTAAATGTTTACCAGATTCTATTTCTTCTTAACATATTTTGGTGAAACTAGTGCTTGGTGTTAACACATCGTGATGCAACCAGCACTTGATGTTGTTACATTGAGATGCCGTTAGTACTTGATGCTGTGGCTACTAATGTTGTCATAGCTAAAGAGAGTTCGGATTGTCTGATGTCTAGCCGAAGAGAGTTAGGATTGGGGGAAAGTGGGGTACAATGGGACAAAAAAAATTGTAAATAACACTATTTATAGAATGCAAAATGCTAAATAAAACAAAGCATCAAATCTTTGTTACATTGCTAAGTACCCAAGCAATGATCAGAACTGTTCCTCTGATTAGAATTAGTAAAATACAAATAAAATAAATTGCCCAAGGACATTTTACATCAGAAAATGGTTTTGATCCAATAAAATGGCCCGGAGTACTGTGGGACCGCCCCTGGGGTACATTGGGACACTTTTCCTAATTATGTTATCATCAAAATTATAGTCAAATTTCAGGTTATAATTTTCTTTATATTCTTCAGCACCGAGTAGGGTTGCTAAAAATGAATTTGATGTTTCCCATGCTGACTGATAATAAATCAGCTACACCAGGAAATATAAAACGCTCCGTATTTTCTTTACGGCGCCAGTCAGATATTTCAAATTCGTTATCTTCGTCTTTTTGCTTTATTTTCCAGCTATGTTCTCTCTGCAATGGCTGAAAGATTTTTGAACCTTTTCTTTGCACTAATTCTTCTTCTATTGCATCAAATGAATTGTGCAGTAGATGAAATTTTTTCTTCTGATGAAGATGACGAAGAGCCAAATATCTCTCACAACGAAAATTTAGCGGCGAACGAACAATTTCATTTTTATATTGGAAAGTCCTGGAACGTGGGTACTGTCCCATTGTACCCCAAACCAACATTTTGGAAACACTTGGCTGCCATTTTAATATTGATGAACCAAGTAACTATTTATCTTATGTAATTAAATTTTGACATATTATGTAGCAATTAATCACACAGGAAATGTTTAGCTCGCAAAATGAGCAGTCTCATTACGTTTGAGCCTACACAACGTTAGCATAGCAAATTATTTAGTTTGCTCACTTCTACCTTACCTAAAATAAATGTTGTTCACCGAGGAATGAAGGACAGGGCAACACATCTCTCTACCACATCAATCAATGCACCAACTTGTGTACTATAACTACCTCAAATTGTATCTCAATATTATTTTCAGTATATAAAATAATTGACGTGTCCCACTGTGCCCCATAGTTCCACGGTACCCCACTTTCCCTACCCAGTCGTGCGCTTATCTTAGAAATATTTGCTTTCGTAAGAGTTCCTTACTCACTTTCCGCTCGAAACACATTTCAATGCTATCTACTTAAGCCTAATTAGGTCACATGCTACCCACCAATGTGAGTCAAAACGTCACTAATGTTCATTAGTTTCTCAAGCAAAAGCTGGTCTCATAGCATCAATTAATTTTAACTGATTAATACTTCTCTGGTGGCATGTCTGCAGCACATGTGAGTTCACTATCAAACAAACGATCAAAGTACCTTACTATCAACGTATCGCAATAATTATAGTACTTTATAACTACATAAGTTCTCCATACACTCCATCTGCGTTATATTTACTCTTCTTTAGAGAAATTTGTCATCTTTCACATGGTGTTTGTTGAGACGAATTATAACCTACTGAAAATGGGATCCCATCTTGCTTCGAATTAGAGCAAGAATGTAATTCTCACTTATCATCATTACTATGATATGCCTCCAACTTATTCGTGTATTTTACTGTTACTTATTGAGCAGTTCAATGTGGATCATTGAGTATTATATTTTTAATTATTGTAGAATCATCTCTTATTAATTTACAGTATTCTACCGAATATATGATCTCTACTGAGGTAGCTAAGCGCAGTGTCGAACAAATTCTTGTGTTCAAATCTTACGCTGAATTTTGAAGCTCTCGTGAGAACTAATTAACTAATAACTCACTCAAGTACAAACTAAATTAGCTGATTTTTGGGAGTGCAATCGCACGTGTTCTATATTATCATATAAATTACATGATAAAGATTGAAAAACTTTCTAGATGCGATATTATTGTTGACTAATTCAGTGTGGCACTGCTCAAACGTCCATACATGTGTGAACGTCTACTACCATCTTCTGGAAATTCCATGATATTCAGAATATGTATTGAATTTTTTTCCAATTTTCACCATATGGTTTTCCGTAAAGTTTTGTACATTTTTTGGTATTGGATGCGGTTGTGATTAATTAATTTATTAAAGTGTAATCGAACCGTTGAAAATAATTTGTTTTACGCACCGCCTCAGCATCGCCATATATAGGCTGCAAATGCCGTAATAACAACGGAAAAAGAATGACGTTTGATTTTTACGCCTATTTAATTTGATTTTTCATAATGGCAAATAGTGCAGTTATTATTAGTAATTATTGTATGATGTTATTCACAGAAACGAATTAATTAAAAACTGGAATTTAGCCTTTGTTATGCATCCAACGTCACTGAATTATGTAGACTAAAGACTAAAATTTAAATTTAAAATACATTTAGACTAATAAATTTTGGTATCGAGCTTTGTAATAACTTTATTAAATGAGTTCACTACCACTTGAATAAAAAAATTAAATGAGATATTCTCACGAAAACTTAATTAGTGGAGTAAAATCAGACTGTGGAAACCTGGGATCCCGCGTTTTATTTATTAAATTCGTATGTAACTATTAATGTAATTTCCTTTTCAACAATGTAATTTCTTATTATCATACTAGCTGGATACTCTAAATAGAGAAAGAGATGTTCTCTGATCATTTTAAAATATTATTCGATCACTTTGCTTTGCTTTACTGCTTCAATTGTCTTTATTCACGTTTCTGTCCCAACGTGATTTTATTGTACATAGTTCTTCTGTTCTGGTTAGAACTTGTATTATTGTTTGAGAACAAACCCGGCTATTAGTTTGAGTGTGAAATGTATAATCTAGTTTGAAGTGGAACGTTCAAGCGCATCAAGCGTGCTCTGGTGTGTTGTTAATTTTCGTTAGCGCTTGTTTAGATTGAAACGAAATGAGAGCTGTTTGTGTTTGATCGAAATTTCTAACGGTTATAATTATTCTTGGATGACCAAGGTACATGCAGTATGGACTATGGAATACGAGACACACTGTATTTTTTTCAGAACTTTAAATTCGAATATCAGGAATTCAACTGAAAAATTTTATTGTGACCGGAAAATTTCCTATTTCTGCCCTATTTTGAATCCAAAGCCCTCATTTGAGACGCAAGCTCGCCATCAGTTCGTTTATAGTGAAGAGTAGCTACGTCTAGACTCTAGAGTACTTCAGACGTACAACGAACGTGTTTCATTGTTAGCACTCTAGTCATTAGTTCGTACGTGTGCTGCAGCGTTGTAAAATTCAGAAACTTTTGTCTTGTTTTCTTATCATCTTCCAAGGAAAAAAAACTGAAAATATCTCACAAAAAACTGGAAAGTGGTAATATTTTTCCTAACCGAAGAGCCCCCACCAAAACTATTTCACTCAAAGCAAGAAAGCTCGTATTCATGTAAAAAAAGCTTTGTAAATTAAGTGTGGCCGGGACTTGTATTGAATGTACCGCACTATGAGCAAACTACACCAATATATTAGGCAAGACACCAACGTGTAAAGAAAATGTCACCGAGCTATCTTTGTTGTGTCAGATCCAAGTTTGGAATGATCGAGCGTGCGCTAAACTGTGAGTAATCTTCGAAAACTCTTCGTCTGTAGTGTAAACTTGCGTAACAGACCGCGAGTCATGCACAGTTGGCTAGCCGCGCGCAGTGAGATTCTCAGTTTTTATGCACGACGCAATTATTTTCATTTGGTTTTCCTGAATCATTTCGTTTCATGCCTCATTGATAGTGAAATTACGTTCAACATTTTGAGATTTCTTAGATCTTAATCTGAATTTCAAGTTGGATGGTCTCTAGAATATATTCTAGGTAAAAAAATTAAAAGGCTCGGCAGACCAATGAAAGTTCAGCGCCTGTCCTCCGTCGCTGCAAAGATGTGAGGAAAGGGGCAGCATGGTTGAACTAGTATAAGGTTGACCCATGAGAAGCTCATTTTCGGGGATGGAGCTTGTTTCTCGCCTATGACGTCACTGGTCTCAGTGACGTCACGGGCATTAACCAATCACCGAAATGCGTTCAAACCAGTCAACCAATCCGTCATGGGAATGACGGGTTTGTTTACGTTTCTCGATCTACGTGACGTAATAAGAAAGCTGATCTGAAAGACGGAACTTCTCGTGGGTCAACCTTATATAGTTCAACCATGAGGGGCGGTTTTTCTAATGGTGGTTGAGATTTTTAGCTAGATTTTACAGCGGCCGTCTCTCTTCCCTTATTAATTACTTGAATACGTATTACGTAGGTTGGAATGAATAATTATAATGTTCAGTAATTTATAGATGGGTTGAAGATTGATGACGCCGACCAACACCTGTATCAGTGTTGGCAGTTAGAATAGACATGAGTCACATGACATGAGCACAATGGAATAACAATATCAAAATAATACAGAGAACACAATTAGTAATTCAGTTATGACATTTATTCCTTGAAATATTTTATTACATTATAAGAATTGAATTCCAATGAAGAACTTAGCAGCTCACTCCAGCAGATATGTTAACACAGCGACGATGCCCAGAAAAATGACGCAATACCGCGTGATTGGCTAATGTTGCCCACAGGGCATCTAAACAAAATTCATAATATCTGATGGCGCGAGTCATTACAGAACTTCTCCGGCGGGAACGAAGTTTCGTAAGAAGGATTGAGACGGTAATAAGAATGACCGTCGTTTAGTTTCAGCTCTATAGAGCAAAAAAAGTTACCAGACGTTCGTGAGCATACATTGTGCATGGCATTAAACATCAGTAAGCTTTTAAGACTAATGCATATAAGATGAATGCATTATTTTATTAGAAACGCGCATGAGAAGATAATAGAGGATCGCGTTCATAGCTAGGTAGCGCCGATAACATAATTAGAATTATCAGTTGGAGTATCAGTAACTAACAGTGTCGTGACATCGAAAACCCAACATGGGAAAACCAACTCGAACAAGCGGGAAACCGGTGGAAGAGCACAGCAATGAGTCGAAATCATTGAATGATGTAGTATACCTCTTGAGTGAAATGGTGAGCTCGCTTTGCAATGAGCTGACTGAAGTGAAGGCTCAACTGAAAATGCGGAAAAATTGAAGTAAAAAATCAGAGAGTTGATTTATCCGAAGTTGCTAGCGAAAGCTCCCTCGAGTTACTTGACAGAGAATTTAGGAAGTCAAACCTTGTCTGGTTTGGTATTCCCGAAGTACCGCATCTGATACGAAGGACCGAGTGATGGCTGAAACGGCATTTATTGTATATTGTTGAAGCAAGGCACTCAGCACACTGGTTGATATTACATCGTGCAAGAGGCTACGCTCCAAGGATGCTGCTGCCAACGCTTGCAGACCTCTGTTGGTGTCTGAAAAGGATCCTGCTCAGGTTTGAAGCGTGCTGAAGGCAGCGAAAAAGCTTAGAGAATCCGCTGATTGCAAGTCAGCTTTTGTAAAGAAATATTCTTCCCCTTTAGAGAGGGCGGATTTACGCAAGAAATGGCAGGAGAGAATCAGGCGGAAAGACACGGAAAATCAGGTTTATCACTTTCAAGCTGTCAAGACAAGTAGGAATGGAGGACAAGTAATTAGTAGGAATGATGTTCGTAGATCCAGGACTGTAAATAATGTAGGAAGTAACCGCATACATCAAAGTGAAAGTGCACAAAAAGTTTTAAAATGTTTTTATACGAACTCGGATTCCATTTTGAACAAAAAAGTGAACTGTTAACTGTGATCGCAAACGAGTGTAAACTGTAAAGACATTATTTGTTTTACAGAAACATTCCCTAAAAATCACGTGGGGAAAATTGTAACTGTCGAATTTAATTTGCCAGGTTTTGATTGTTTTCATAGCTCAAATGAAGAGCAGCGCAGTAGAGGTGTGGCTCTGTGGGTTGGAACCTCAATTATTGGGCCCAACAAGCTAAGCTATCTGCAGAACATTAATCAGCTAGAAAATCAGTGTGGTATGAACTTTCTCTAAAAAGCAAGTATAAGCTTCCTCATAGGGGTACTGCATATAGATCACCTAACAGTTCCGCTGATAATGATTAAGTACTAAACAGCCTTTTACCGAGCATGACTTTCAGCAGGTCGCATACGTTGATCGTTGGTGACTTAAACCACCCAGGAAAAAGACTGGGCAGATCCAAATCCTCCACAAAAGATGGAAATCACACAGCATCCCTGTTCTTGGAGTCTGTGCGAGACTCATTTTTAATTCAGAACATTACCACAAATATTCAAACAGACTCCAAATATTCTATATCTAGGGCAATAGTCTATACTAATGAAGAATCAATGTTAGATGATCTTCACCACGAGGCTCCGTTGGGCAAAAGCCACCACCAATCATTGTTCTTCAGTATTAAGTGCTATGTAGAATAGACGCTTCGGAAGCGTAAACGTTTGAACTTTGCGAAAGGCGACTATGTTAGACTGTGATGCATTGAATGCGGCGAATATTTCGGACTGTATTAAGGACATGAATGTGGCTGATTCATGGTCATATCTCAAAGACACGGTTATGTTAGCACTTAATGCCTGTGTACCTAAGATTACGCTTGGAGGTGTCACATAGCCTCAGTAGATTAACAGTAGTTTTAGCTCAGTTAAATACCAAGAAGGAAGCCTGCAAGCGTTATTTCGAACACTCAGTGATGCTGATTATAACCTTTATGCATGAGCTCGAAATCAAGCTAAAAAAGTCTTCTTAACTGTCAAATGCTTTGGCAATATATATACATTTATATATATATATACTCATCGACGCCACATATGTGTAACCGACGTATAACCGTTCAATCGATGACGTACAATCGAGTAAAATCTATTTCTTCCCCTGACGACCTTAGTCAATTATCCCAGTCCTTATATAGGTGGCACTTAATATAACGGCCTGACAAGATGGTGATCACATATCACACAAGAAGGTTTTTTTACTACACCGTCAAGGCACTCACCTCCACTTCTGCCGTTTACTATTTTTCAGTGGCACAAAGGAAACGTTGATACTGATAACCGCAATGTGTTCTCACTCATTACAAAACTATTCACTTACACAAATTGTCAATAAACATCTGAAAACATTATAAAATATGCAGAATTTAGGTTGGGTGAATACATTTAAAATGCGAACAAATTTTTATGGTCAGACAAATTTTCTATAGATAAAACGATTTGATACTCAAATGAATAAACATAATACTTGTAGCATTGTTTCTGTGAAATGACAGTTGGAACAAAGTTACTTGTACAGCTGTCAATATTATAGGGGAGGAGTAGATAAGAATTTTCCTACTCATATACCGGTATTGAATTTCGAGGGTCCAAAGTTACCACTTTTTTTATACATGTAGAATCTCGTGGCCCAATAGTGCAGTTTGATTGAAAATTAGATCGAAGGTAATTCATCTAGCGGAAATTTTGCAATTCCGTAAATGGCAAAAAAAGCTCTTGCTGTGGCTTGAACGGTAAATATATTTCTCATCGTGATGCCACTAGAACTTGCTGGCGATGCTGAGAGAGGGATACTGGAGGCTCAGAAGGTGATGTTGGGGGCTCAGAAAGTAATGTTGGGGGCTCAAAAAGTGATGTTGGGGGCTCAGAAAGTGACGTTGGAGGCTCAGAAGGTGATACTTGGCTCCAAAAGGTGATGTTTGGGGCTCAAAAGATGATACTGGTGGCTCAGAAGAGGATGCTGGGAGACAGAAAATGATGCTGGGGGCTCAGAAAGTGATGTTGGGGGTTCAAAGGTGATGTTGGGGGCTTAGAAGGTAATGCTGGGGCTTAGAAGGTGATGCTGGAGGCTCAGAAAGTGACGTTGGAGGCTCAGAAGGTGATGCTGGGCTCCAGAACGTGATGCTGGCGGCTTAGAAGGTGATGCTGGGGCTCAGAAAGTAATGTTGGGGGCTCAGAAAGTGACGTTGGAGGCTCAGAAGATGATGCTGGCGGCTTAGAAGGTGATGCTGGGCTCCAGAAGGTGATGCTGGCGGCTCAAAAAGTGATATAGGGGTCTCAGAAGGTGATGGTGTAGGCGCCCCCCGCAGGAGCAGCGACGTAGAAAGTTGGCTGGCCGGAGTACTGCTCCTTGACGCGACTCAGGAGGGCGTCCACGCTGCCAGCTTCGACCTGACAACCAAACACGCTGATTAAGATAAATGTTTATTTTAAATAACAATAATTCATCCTAAATAAATGTTGTTTTTAGAAATATTTTCGTTGTTCTCCTATTATTGGTATAGGAACTTGTAGTTAGTTTGGACGGTGGCCAGACACCTCATTAAACGCGACATTTCATCACTATAGCAAATGATCATTGCGACATTTTATCATTACAGCAATTCACCATAATTTTCATCATTGCAAAAAGTACATTTTGAGAAAAATAACATGGAGTTAAATTAAGTTTAGTCGGTAGAGGATGAAATTTTCCAACGATGAAAAGCGTCAATGATGAAATGTCTCTTAAGATGAGGTGCCAGGTAACCACAGCTGACCAGGGTGACTGTGCAGCCCCCGAAGCCTCCTCCCGTCATGCGGGAGCCCAGTACCCCCGGCACTCCCAGCGCCGCCTCCACCAGCGCATCCAGCTCAGGACACGACACCTCCTGTTCATCCCTGGGGGAAGGGTGAGGGGGCGTGAGATTAGCATGAGTTATGTTGGGCTACTTGCTTGGCTGGGTAGGGTGGGGTCAGTTCATACAGAGCTGGATCGCTTGTGTTAGGTTAGGTTATGTTGCGTTATATTCGCTTGGTTATGTAAAACTGTTTTTGGGTTTGGTTTGAGACCAACAGGGTTACGTTGGATTAGGTCACGCGTTGTTGGATTGGATTAGTTTAGAGAATGAACGCTGGGCTTAGCATTGTTTTCCTTAGTCCGTTATCCAAAATTTCAATTTAATTTACAGAAGAACTCGTGAAGCCATAGAGAAGTTGAGTCGCGGTTGAGCTGTGTCACAAGGCGGACGTGCGTTTTGCGCGGGCGCAAAACTGGCTTTTGCACTTTGCCGGTTTAGCTCTATATATGCATTTTGTGCTGAAGCCTGTTAGTAAAAAGACTTAAGGGGACCTTCTACCCTAAAACCGAGGTAGCATATAACTCCTACAGTTATTGTCCGATCATCATGAAACTTCACATACATACGTAAAATGTAAAAATAATAACATTTTACTTCTATGAATTTTTCGAAAAAATTGATAGAAAACGTGATATTCATAGAAAACGGACAAATAACGGGTACTATAGAAAATCTATCTCCCCCCACAAATATCGTCCGACAATATCGAGACACATATCATTAGATTTTCTCCCACCCGCCTCCGTTTAAAGAGCCGTCATGAACGTAAATATTCACGTAGAGAGATGGCAGTGATACCATTGGAAAGAGGAGAATTCCAGCTTTAAGATGAGTATAAAAACCGGAAAACGACAAAATTGAAAATTTTAGGGTAGAAGGTCCCCTCAGTGAAAGAGAATGCGAATTAGGGTAGAAGGTGAAGTCAGTGAAAGAGAATGCGAATAAAGAGTAGAAGTGAATAAAAAGTGTTCCCCTATTTTTTCTTATGAAGAAACGAGGGTAAGCTTGTGAGAGGGCACTGTGCTGTACGCTTGGCTTTCGGTTGGGGCTAAATATCTTGAGCAGGTTCTGTCACCTCTGTTCTGCCCCGTCTACCTTTACGTGACTATCCCTCCCCCTCTTACCCGCCTATCGAATCGAGCCCTTGATTCCCCCAGCCCACCCCTGTATTTCACCCGCCAACTACAGCTGTTACCTCAGCTGTTCCGCTAGAGTCAAAATTTTCGAATGAACTTTCCTATATTCAATTCAACTCAGTTTTGAAGTTTGTCTCCGACTCTCTGTCCTTTTATGCGTTCGAGAGCTCTATTCCGTGCATTTTAAAATTGCTGGACAGAAAATAAAAAAGGTAGTGGAAAAGCCCTCTATAACCTCTAGAAAAAAAATTAAACCAAATCAGCCCAGCTAGAGATGAAAGTTTGCAAGTACTGCAAAGAGATCTTTCTTAATCTCAGTCACCTGTGAACGTTGCAAAGATCTCATTTGTATCAGCTGTTCTAAGTTGAGCTCTAAGGAGTATTCAGTTCTGTAGAAAACTAAATTTCTTCATTAGTTTAGCCGTGACTGCGAAAAGCCAACTCTTGATGCTCGAAAAAGCAGGAGTCTGTGGAAAAGCACGGTAATGAGTCTAAATCGTTGAATGACGTAGTAAACTCCTTAAGTGAGATGATGCGCTCGCTGATTGAAAAATTGAGCTTGCTATGCAATAAACTGACTGAAGTGGAAACTCAGCTAAAAAATACAGAAAAATGAAAGTAAAGAACAAGAGAGCTGATTCATTTGAAGTCGCTCCCGTCGAAAGCTCCCGTAAATTACTTGGTAGAGAACGTAGGATATCCAACCTTGTGTGGTCTGGTATTCCCGAAAGTACCGTATCTGATACGATCATACGAAGGACCAAGTGATGGCTGACACTGCATTTGTTGCAGACTGCTCCTGCAAGGCACTCAGCACACTAGCTGGTTGACATTACGTCGTGCAAGAAGCTACGCTCAAAGGATGCTGCTGCCAAAATCTGCAGACTTCTGTTGGTGACTATAACGGATCCTGCTCAGGTTTGAAGCATGCTGAAGGTAGCGAGAAAACTTGGAGAATCTGATGAGTACAAGTCCGTTTTTGTAAAGAAAGATTCTACCCCTTTGGAGAGGGCGGATTTTTGCAAGAAATGGCTGGAGGGGATCAGGCGGAAAAGCACGGAAATCAGGTCAATCACTTCCAAGCTGTCAAGACAAAACCGGCCGCTCACGGTCAGTCGGAGAAGCTGGAGGACAAGTAATTAATGGGATTGATGTCCGTAGATCAAGGCCTGTAAATAATTGAGGAAGTAACCGCATACATCAAAGTGAAAGTGAATACAAAGTTTTAAAATGTTTTTATAGGAACTCGGATTCTGTTTTGAACAGAAAAGTGAATTGTTAACGAGTGTATAGACATTATTTATATTCCAGAAACACTCCCCAAAAATCACAGGGGGAAAATTGTACATGTTGAATTTCAGTTGCAAGGTTTTTATTGTTTTCATAACTTTTCTAACGATGAAAAGTGTGCAGTAGCGGTGTAGAGCAGTGCAGTAGCGGTGTTGCCAGGTTTAGCTCTGTGGGTTAGAACCTCTTATGGGGCCCAGCAAGTAGGCGGCTTCCATCCTAGATTGCTCAAAGAATTAGCAGCCGTCGTGGCCGGACCATTGGCAGTATTATTTCAAAAAACCTCGAACGAAGGAACTTTGCCGACCAATTGGAAAGACGCTCAAGTAACACCATTGTTCAAAAAAGGTGACAAAAGTAGCCCCGGCAACTATCGCCCTGTCAGTCTGACAAGTGTTGTTTGTCAGATAATCGATAATCAAATCTTTTGTGAGGGCTACAGTGGACGAAAGGGAGCCAGTGGATGCAGTCGACCTCAATTTTGCCAAAGCATTTGGCTGTTCCGCATTAACGGTTGTCGCGTAATTTGAAATCTTTGGGAAGAGAGGGAAACGTACTCAAAATGAATCAGAGATTTTCTAGTAGGTAGACGACAAGATGTCGGTGCTAACGGAACCGTGTCAGACTGGGCATCAGTGCGCGGAAGCGTGCCACAAGAAAGCGTTCCTGGGCATATTTTATTCCTTGCTTTTATAAATGATCTGCCAGAAGTAGTGCCAAGCGTGTGTTCCATGTATGCCGACGACACAAAAGTTTATAATACAGTAAAGCATGCGTCAAATAAAGCGTTAACTGGTCTAGTACGTGGCCGCTGCATTATAATCCTGACAAGTGTAAAGTACTTCACCTTGGGAACAACAATGAAGAGCAAGATTACAGTATGAGAAGAGATGGATGCAACGAGAGAGTAATGGTTAAAAAGTCTAGTGTGAAAAAAGATTTGGGAGTTTATGTCGATAAGGAGCTGAAATTTTTTAAGCATGTTGAAACGAAAGCTTATAAATCCAATAAACTTCTTGGACTGATCAGACTCGTCTACGAGTTCCTATATGCAGAAGCGATGAAGCAGTTGTTTTTTGCTGTCGTGCGCCCGAACCTAGAGTTTGGAAACGCCGTGTGGCCACCGAGACTTGAAAAGGACCAAAATTTGATAGAGGGTGTTCAAAGACGTGCAACAAGGTTAATTCCAGGCTTGAAGGGCAAGTCCCATAAAGAAAGATTAACGATTATGAAGCTTCCAAGCCTCTGTTATCTCTGCGTGGGGACCTCATTGAAATATACAATTATACTCATGGTTATACAAGGTCCCAGAAGAATTACTAGAATTTGAATAAGAACCAACACCTGGGGCCACGACAATAAACTAAAAAAACTGCATTGAAACTCATTCACGCGACAATATTTCTTCTCGCTTCGAATCACCGACATGTAGAACAGCCTCCCCGATTGCATCGTTGACGCTCCGAGTATAACGCGTTAGTATAATAGCGCTCAAGAACAGACTAGATAAAGCTATTGAAAAATTAATGTTCAGACTTGAAATGCGTTGCACCATATCGAACCCGGTGGAAGTCTACTAGCTATTTCAAACTATTGTCAGTCTTGACAAGATCCGGTCAAAGACTTGGTCAGATGGACGAGCTGCGGCCGAGGTTAGGAGAGACGATGGGTAGAAGCGACGCCCCACATGGGGGCGCCGCCAAGCCGAAAAAACGGCTCGCAGCAGGTCCGGGAGTTGTGTTCGTGTTTGGCCTAACGGGAGCGACGGGTCGTCCCGGAGGGGTCCATCCACCACGAAGAGGTCCGGACGTCGGACCTCTTATCGTCACCCCAGCTACCCTATAGTCACCCAGACATCGGGGCCCCGTCCCATGAAGCACACGCTTCAGACTCGCTTCCTCCCTTCAGTCTCTCACCTGCTGGAGGAGGGTTCCGGAGGGTTCCTTCCCCCTCCGGACTCCTACCCCACCGCTCTCATGACCCTGCAGAGCTCTGCTGTCTCCTCTTACCTGGCCTCAGCAGCTCCTGACAAAGTGTTGCTGATCACTGCCCACTCCGTCTCATCCAGCGAGCTATCCCTCCCCAGGGCGGCCAGAAGCGCCCTTTCCCAGCTCCGCTCTGGCTACTCATCGCGGCTCAACTCATACCTTGTCCGCATTGGTGCAGCTAATAGCCCTTTCTGCCCTGAGTGCGGCATAATGGACCACACCAACCATTACCTCTTCAGCTGCCCATCGCACCCCAACCACCCCGGGCCGCCGCCTCTGCGGGGGCGCCGCCGAGCAGCGGCCCCGGGCAACTAACAACAATAGATCCGGTCAAACGACATGCTTTTAGATCTTTTGTGAACAAGTCACGAAAAGTACAAGAATCGGCGACAGGCTACATAAGGCCTTCTATTCAGCGCCGTCATTACTATGTTATATTATATACCACTATAAAAAAGGTGCTAGTTGATAAAAAAAACTGAAATTTTCAAGCAAACTTCTACAAAGCATAGAACCAACTGAAAGAATGCATGCAACCTTATCAAAGAGTGTTTCTTCCCAATTTAAACTTAAGGCTCCAGATTGAGAACCTCAAGCTCTCAGGCAGACTCGACTGTATCCCTATGGAATTCTATCTCTACGTATTGTCTTAATTTCTCCGGTCGTAAATGAAATATCAATCTGAATTTTTTCATGCATATTCGGCTATTTATTTACAAGTTCTCTACAGTAATTAAAGATATGTAAATTTTGTATAGCATCAGTTTGATAGAGGAAAATGTTGTACATCGATGTTCTTTATACAAGGCGACTCACCTAAATTTGTGTGACATAAGGAAGTAGTAGGGCAACATGGGGCAGCACGCCCCCCACTTTTTTTAAACTAATTTTTTGATGAAGTTTTAATTGATACGAGGTGGTTCTTTGTTTTGTTTAAAGGTACAACTAATGAGGAATGTATGATGTGAATTAGACGCCTACAGAGTTATTCAATTTTTAATGAAAGACTATTTTGTAAAAAGTGTCAAAATGGGCCCATTGCCCCACCCCTGGGGCAATGGGCCCTTGGGCTTGGGGCAAGGCGCCCACCCTTGGTCCCTCTACCGTAATTGAATATTTTTCTTTAAAAAAAATAAAACAACACTTTACAGTTGAAAATAAGAAAAAGGTAATAAAAAATAAGCCCATCATTCATTTAATAACAACTCAAAAAATCATATCCTTAACTTGAAAAAAATTTACTCTTGGCTTGAAAAATCTATCTCTGACGTGAAGAAAATTATTTCATTGACATAAAAATATATATCCATGACTTGAAAATATATCCTTGCGATAAAAAATTCGTCCTTGACATGAAAAAATATATCCTTGACTAGAAAAAAAATATTTAGTTGATCAGAAAAAAAAACTTCGTTCCGGTTTCGTCCATAATCCAGATGTTATGTGCAGAGAATTCGTACCTATAATCGTGATTTCAGCCAACACCATAAAAACTCAGCAACTTTTGGCTCACTGGTGTTGACTGAAATCAACTTTTGGCAAGGCAGGAGTCAATAACTCGATAAGGGGTCATAAATACGCATAACTAGAAACTACAACTTCTGCCTTGAGGCGGCAAATCAAAAAATCATGCAATATGAAGTGTAATTTGTAATTCAAAAAGCCAGTCATAGTTTGAAAAGGTCATTGAGACAAATCTAATGATGTATAACACAAGACTTCACCATGGGCGCTTTGCCCCGTGACACGCGTGGGCCCGTTGCCCCACTAGGTATCATTTCAATTGATATCGTGTCAACACTTTATTTTAGAAGCTAATAGTCAAAACTTAAACTCAAAATAATACCTATAGATATTACTTTCAAAATATAATCCACAGTAATTTCAAAAGCTTCATCTACAGTAATAGTTTAGTTAGTTAGTTAGTTTTGTTTTGTTTAGCAGCAAAAAAATTTTTATCTGGGCTGAAACAGTTATTCACAAATAACTCAATAATGCAAACACTTAGCAAAACGTAAATCCGTACACTTCATCCCAGTGAAACTGTCGACCGGCGGTAAAGAACACGTACCAATATCTGCCATACTTAGCCAGAAACCCGCTATGGGCCCATGACCCGCAGTGGGCTCGCTGCCCGATGTTACCCTACTATTTATTCTTCGTTGATTGATATTAAAGACATGCCTGAATCAACCTCCTTTTTGTAGATATTTTCTAACAAAAGCCTTTTTCATCACTGCTAAATTGGTGATTTCACATTTTCTGAGGAAGCTGCAGTTCTGATGAAGGAATTGGGGAAAGAATGAGGGGGAAACACACGTCGTAAATAACCCGCCTGTCACCCTCGTGATGGAGGGGAGCACAATGAGGGGCTGGTAATAATAGATGACCAATGGTCGGTCGAGGCCAATTAGTTCTAGCCAACAGCAGGCACTTCCTCGGCAGCATAAAGGCTGGCCATAGCCCCAAGATGAGTGCTGGCTCAGATATATTACAAAGGCAACAAGCTCGAGCGTAGCAACTTGGCACTGAACTAGGGTTCTACATCCTTGTCGCGAATCCCTCGCTCTCGGACTTCGACGCACTCTACTAGCCTTAACCAAGTCCAAGACTACTAGCCTTAATCAAGTTGAATTTATACAATCTGAAAAAATGTAAATTTAAAGAAGTTATATCATAATACAACATATAATGTTGTACTTGTACCAATGTCCTACCTGAGAGAGTTGTGTGACTCAGTCATGAGTTTGCCGAAAGTTTTGTAGTCGCGCCGCTTGAGGGCGGCCACGGCCTCCTGCGTGCGCGTGATCTCAGTGACCACGTGACGCGCGCGTCGTATGGTCACGTCGGTCAGAGACGCCAAGTGATCTGTGGCCACATGCACAGAACTATTGATTGATGTTAGATGTAATTTGAACATGTCGCATACATAGAACCAAAACTTTTTAAAGTACCCAAACCTATGCTGCTTAAATAGTTCTTTATGTGGGCTCACGTGCAGGGTGGCTTAGTGGTTAATGTTCAGAGTAAAAATATTGAAGCAGTGAGTTGTGGGTTAATCCCAGCTACCAGTGATAGTTCTGTTCAAAATCGGCGAGGAGACCGGGCCGCCGGGCGGTCAAGCAATTTGGAGCTGTGAGTTGCGTGTTCGGGACGTGCAGCAAGCTGCAAAAATTCTGCGATATTCAGAATTAGCGACGGGCGTAATGGCTTATTTAACGCTGACACCGCTATTATTAACATTATTGTCTCAGATTGGTGACTCAATATCTGGATACAGATTATTTGGTTGAACTGAGTGAGGTAATTGGGTCGGGGCCTAAATAAAAAAACTGGTCAGTTGTCATGCTTAGCACATTTGTCTTCTCTTGTACTATGATAGAAAAAATTTGTAGTTATTTGCGTTCATGCCACAATTAGCCGAGTGATGAGGCAAGTGGGTGGCGTGGTTTGCAATAGTTTCGGTACATGATATTTCTTGGATTCTCGAAACGGGTAACATAAACGGTTCTTATCAAATAGTGCTTTATCAAATTAATGCAAGCAATTATATACGACACTCACAATTCCATTTGCAACAAATCTCAACTCAGCACACTTAAGCGTAGTAATCTCACTCTGAATGTCATCCATGGTCGCTTCACGTAGACTTTTTTTGCCCAAAACTTTAGCAGCAGCGAAACAGTCAGCGCGTCTGGCGGGGTACTCTGAGCCTGAGAGCGTGTGGCGCACGTTGCTGTTGCAGACGACCACGCGCAGTGAGTCTTCAGTGAACGGTACCAGCTCGCATGACAGGTCTCTGTCGTAAAAATTAGCAGTGGTATAAATTTATTTGTTTGAAAACTTCAGTTGCGTAGAAGTGTTTTTCTAATTGTAACATGCAGTCAGTAGTCTATAAGTGCGCAATACTTTTTGAAGCATCTTGATATCGGACTAGAGACACAGGCCAAACACCTTGATATCGGACTAGGAACACAGACCAAACACTTTGATATCGGACTAGAGACCTAAACCAAACTCCTTGAAATCAGACTAGAGACACAACAAATACTTTGATATCGGACTAGAGACACAGGCCGAACACCTTGAAATTAGATAAGAGACACAGGCTAAACATCTCGATATCGGACTAGAGACACAGACCAAACACCTTGAGATCGAAATTGAACCACTGGCCCTTTTAGTTTCTACTACCTCTAGTGCCAATAACTTCGCCATCGTACTAATGTCGCTGGCCTTCGAAAGAAACGATCTATTAGTAATAAAACTGAGACACAACTTTATAGCGCGGTCGAATAAGCATTTCAGTTACTATTTGGAAGTCGAACTCAACAATTCATAATTCCGACCAGTATTATATGATTAAATGATTGCTGAAATTCGTTTTGTACAAGAACCTAAGTCTGTCCCTCGAAATGCTGTAGTTAGTTATTGATTAACTTTTGCTGAGATTCTGAGCCATACCTGTGTAACCGGAAACAGCGCCGCGAAGTCGAAATAGTTACGGGTAGCGTGCCGATTCGACTGTGACTTGCGTATTGATTTTAATACAAGGGCTAAAGAGTCGCTCTTTGGTCCGGCTCTAAATTCCCTTGCGTTTGAGAGAGGAGGAATGAACACGAGGAACTTTTCGTAATATATTGGTGATCTTCGGGCGATACACAATTCCACTGTACAAGACACGTAATTTATTAGGTCCAAAAGCTCCGGGAAACAGGGCCTCAGCCTCAAGGATACAACGTCGAGGAATCCTAATAAACTACTGCGGACCACAAAAGCGGACAGCAAGGATACGGGTACGAGCCGCACCACAAAACTGACGACCTCACAGGAATGTTTTGATCACAGGAATAACATGTTAACACAGGAATTCGTTATAACACAGGAATAACATGTTTTGAAATACACGAAGAAGAGGTTCTCAAGCGCATGGTAGCTCAAAATCCCAACAAGTCATGTGGACCAGACGGCTTCCATCCCAGATTGCTCAAAGAATTAGCATCCGTTCTGGCCGGCCCATTGACAGTATTCTTTCAAAAAACCTTGAACGAAGGAACTTTGCCGTCCGACTGGAAAGAAGCTCAAGTAACACCATT